TCCTTTCTCTCTATATATATTCTATCCCTGACTGTATTGGTGACACACCAGTTTACCAACTGTCTTACAAGTGGCAGAGATCCCAAACCCAAATACAGTATAATAGATGTGGTCTATCAAGTGATGATTCTCCCTTCCCTCAGTCTGCTGATTTATGCTGTTACTACAGTCCAGGAAGATGTGTGCTGTCTTCATCAGGCATACTGTGAACTCACTGCTGCACACAAAGACATTGCCTCACCTGCTCTAGCCCCAGGGAGTGAACCCTGGCAATCCCTGCAGCCCCAGACCTGGAGAATATCATCCTCTCTCAGGAACTCATCTGAGTTGAGACCTCTGACGTGCTAGGGGTGGTTGCTCCATTCGGTGCTGCTGTCTGTGTGGAAATCAGTCCATTTCTTCCTACCACGAGACAGTGATGGCTCTTTGAATATTCTGTTTTTACCTGTTCTCACCACTACCCCTAAACATGTGACTCAGTGGCCTGACATTTTCTCTCTCTGGATGCAGGAGGCTATTTTCAGTGCTATGTAGTGCTGGTAACCCTCACATGTATAATTTTATCAGTAAATTTGCCACATGATTCCTATCCCTGAATGCTTGCACTTCCTCAGCTTTGGTAGACCACAAATGTGATCCCTACCAAGGAATTGTTAACTCCAAAGGACACGTAGTTAAGATACCCAGACAATAAAGGTATAAAGATATGTGGAATTTTGTATTTAACTGATAAGACAGAAAATCCTTAGGGACCCTGAGAGGAAATCAGTGTTCTGGAAGTAGTTGCTGATAGATATTAGTACTGGGAGACTGATAGATGCTTCGCAATTGTAACAGATACATATGTCATTATAATGTAGCAATAGATTGAATAAGGAGGTCAAAAAATACTGGTACTTCAAACTACACCCTTTGTAGTGTGATAATGTAATGCATGCTGAGGAGAGGCACAGGGAACAGTTGAAGGGTTTGCTGTTATAAAGGCCAAAGGCTGAAGTAGCAGGCAGTGTGTAGAGGCAGGTTTCCATTCTGTCTCTGTTACCATCCAAAGCATGCTTTAAGTTTACACGTTTTTGAACCAGAAAGAATTTCTGCAAGTGCAGAAATTGCTGAAAGTAGCAGTTTCTTCAGACGCTTGAAGTCCTCCATCTAGATTCTGGTGTTAGACAGGATGGCTTGGAGAAGCATTGACTTTAAGGAATTTGAATACCCGAGCATACAAATGTAGGGTGTATGAGTGTGGCATAGAAAATTGCATTCAAGTCACAATGCACTATGGAATGCAGGAAAGGTATCCTATTCAACTTTCAGTCTCAGAACCTGAGCCAACCTTACGCTTTATACTTCACGTACTATAGATCCTGTAAGGTGAGTATCAGTTGAAGAGTAAATGTGGTTTCCTATCCTTGGTTTGCAAGATTACTAATCAAGATTGCATGCCTAGGCTTTAAGTCATTTAGGATTATTACATCAACTTCTTACATATGTAAAGAACCACGCTGCAGTCTATGTTGTTGATTATTTAAGACTTGTGTATTTTAATAATTTATAGGTTTGGTCACTTACATTTTTTCGATAAAACTGAGAATATGCTTCATTTAGTTTACATCGATGCATAAGTAATCAAAATCGTAATTATATTGCTAAAGAAACATCACTTAAAATAGACATATAAATGCTGTTTTGATCATTGCAAACAGCTATTTGTGGTGCAGCGTTTTGGTTATGAGATGTGGAAAAATTTATCTGCCCTTGCAGGTGTGTACTCAAAATGCTATTTCAGGGCAAGTAGTGCTGTAGTATTTTTCTGAGAGATATTGATTGATTTATTACTACAGGCATAGTGAGTGAAAATCCATACAGCTGCATCCCTGTACATCTGTGGTAGTTTCAGAGTTTTTAGAATATAATTGACAGAAGGAAGTAAGATCCTGATGTACTCAGCAAACCAGTGTTCAGAGCTATGCAACACCCTCTGCCTTCATACCAAATAGCCTTGGTCTTTAAAAGACTATACCTGCGCACTCGCGCAGTTCCGTATGCTTTTTATTCTCCCAGCGTATTTCGGTGCTGGGTTCTTGCAAGGTTGTGTTTCTGTAGGCTGCATTTAATTTCAGCTGATTGCCCAATCCTCTCTTTCTTCTGTTGTAACTGGGTTTTGAATTGTCTCAAATTCTCCAATGGATTTACGACAATCTGAAAATTAACAATGGCCCCTTAGTTGCACAGGGCTGTGTAATTCACAAAGTTCATACTTGACCGGTACTTCTTTTCCCCTTACTTCCAGCCAGGCAATCTTCTGTGCTTTTTAAACTGGTGCAGAGGCAGTAAAATGTCTATACATTGAAACTTTCTCCTCCTGGCACTCCATCACTTGGAAAGCAATCTGAGGCTTTTCCATAGACTGATGTATTGGCAGTAACTTAAAAACCCCCCAAAATATAGAAACATGATTTTTGATTATGCTATAAATTGGGATTATTTCCTTCAGGCAGGTGGAAGGACATGCCAGATGGACTTTATATGTTGGCTGTTAGAAAGCTTTAGGAGCCAAAATTATAATTAGCTCACTCCTATTGAAATATGTTCTCCCTAGCTGTATTTTTTTTTGCCAGAGACTGATACAATTCTTGAAAGGTGCAGTTCCCCTCAGCACAGGAAATATGCATCATTCTGTTGGCATTAACCGACCACCTGTGCAGTAGCTGTTGCAGCACTTGCATGGGGAGGCAATACGTCTGCTCCCTGGCACATTTCGGGTGTGTGCCTGTGCTGCAGGAACTGGTGCAGAGGGGATGCACTGGCTGGGACTGCTCAGTGCAGTAACTGCAGGGATCTACACTCCAGGCAGATGGGGTATGAATGGCTCAGAATTGCAGGAAATTCTTCCAAACACCAAATTTGAAGAAAAGGAGGACTAGTTCATCAACAAACCATCAGTGCAGGAAAGTGGCTTGTATTTCAGCACCACCTAGTTTTGTGTGTTGTAAAGTGGTACTTAAGACATGCCATTGAGATCCAGGTGCCACCTATACGAAATGACTCGGTAAGTAAGTGGTAGGAGTGAAGGACTTGTAGGCACAGCTGAGAGAAACTTTATCAAGGAACTTTGACAGGAAACATGGACTACAGCACAGGATGCAAAAATCTGCCAGACATTATGCATGGCTTACTGGGGCAACCGAAGCCTCACTAGGACAGTTGAGCACGCCCGTGAGAGTAAAGCTAGTCTGGGGATGTTTTCACTCACCCCCTTCTGTCACTCTTGGATTTTAGCATAGATGTGTCCACTGTGAGACCTGGTCCATACCTTCTGTAGCTCACCAGAATTGAGAATGTGAATGAAGGACACAGAGGCAGACAGTGTAGCAAATGAGATCTCATAACAAGTCAGACACAGCACTGCAAACAGGATCCAGATTCTCCTGTTTCACAGTTCAGTGCCATCCAATGGTTCATTTCAATTTGAGCTGAAATTGTAACTAATTTCCCCCACACTGTTTGGACTGTTTATTTGCAAGATGATTATTTAATCTTATTAGAGGTGGTAAAATGCTTTCACTGGAAGTTCTCTCAGGTTCTATTTGGTCGATTCCTTTTACTTGCATGTGTTCCTTCTCTCTATGTTGTGGATGCTTACCAGTTAAGGGGGCAGTTTCTCAAAATGAACCCATTCTTGAACTGCATGTTGTATCATTTGATTACTATGATGGTTCCACAGTTGTATATTTTGAATATTTTTGTTTTGTTTTGTATAAAAGACTCTTTTCCAACTCTCCATTTTACTACTTTCTTCCCAAAGGAATATAACACTTTTTTTAGGAAGATCTTTTATTTTGGCTAAAAGACTCAGACGCTAGAACTGTTTCAGATAAAGTTCTAGCACTGGGGAAAAACGAAGAGGGAGTGTTCCGAGTACAAGATGTGTCCCTGCGAGAGCCGCACAGAGCTGGCAGCTGTGGATTAGCGGCTCTTCCCGCTGGCAGGGCCGGGCAGAGGGAGCCGCCCTGGGCGCGGCACGGGCTGTCCGGCAGGGGCTGCAGAGGGCCCTCACCGCGCAGCAGCCGCGCACCCCGGGACACACAACAGAGTTTGAAACAGGACCAAATACATTTCTTTTATTTGTTATTTCAACGTGAAACCCTACTCTAATATTTCAACCAGATCATCTGCAAACTCTGGCTGATGGTGACCATGTCATAGGAGCCAGTAGAAGTCTGTTATAATTTCTTCAAATACAGGTGATTAACCATTAGCAGTTATCTAAAATAGCATTATAGGTACATATACAGTGAAAAAGCAGATAGAAGTTTGTGTGGGAGAAAGCAATGTAAGAATGAAAACTGACACAGGAATAGTAAAGCTACACAGCCATACAGAAATTCTCTGTATCATTTGATGGCTTTAGTACAGAGAAGCGGCTGTGTGGAATAACAAACTGTTGTTCCTCTGAACTTACCACTGAATAAAGAATTCTCAACACCAAAAAAATGAGACCCATGAATAAATGAATAAGCAATGAGATGTCAGCCGAAAAGAAGCAATGAAAAACTAGAAAGAGAGAGAAAAATGAAGAGCATTAGGTGCCAAAAAAGAAAGTGCCAAAAAATTGGGATCTGTCAGATTGGTACGAGTGATGATCCCTAGTTCCTCATTAGTTGCATATACAGAGCATGTTACCAGAGTCCTTTGATCCTACATTAATTTACAAAGTATTTTGATAAACACTTTATTCTTTCCCTCAGATGTGCCAGTGGATGCAGGTAAAGGAGGAGGCCACGTCTAGGAGCAGTCATGTGATTAAGGCACAAAAGGCAACCAGGGATTCTAAAAATTGACTGAAATACATTTCTCCTATAATGCAATGATCAGACCAACAGTCATTATTCCTTCTAGGATCTTCTATAGATCACTAAAGAACATAATTTTCTAAATTCAGCAATTATTTATATGTGATACTAATATAGAAATGGTAAATGTACTTCATTGTTTTTATACAGTGCAAGTGACATTGAGGAAAACCTGTGCAATTATCCAGCTGTACTTACACCGTTAAGGGAGGTCGTTCTGGATCACAGGTAAGTCAGATAAATATTTTGGCTTTGTGTATTTGGGTACAGAGCCTGTGGTCAGCAGTTGGTATTTGGCATGCAACTGCCTACTTTATCCATTTTTATGCACTAACTAATTTTCTTGATGTAGGGATTTAAGGATGGCAAAATAATTTCATAAATTATAAGCAAAAAAAATAATCTGTTTCATCTACTTCATTCTGGATAGCCGTTGCATAAAAACTGTCAAAAACATATTGCTCTGGCTTCATCCCTGCTGCAGTTCCATTGATTACAGTGGAGTTAAATCAAAGATGAATCTGTCTGCTCAATTTAAATCTAATGATTGGTTAAAAAGTCGGGGGGAGAGCCCTGTCTAAATCCAGGGCTGTTTTATCCTTGTGTCAGCATTTAATTCCATTTGCATATAAGCCTATTTCGCTTCTCTAAATTTAATTTGTTAGAGCTTGGCCCTCAGCAACAACAGCAACAACAAAGTAATTGCATGCACTATTGGGCAATGGTGCCAATACAGCATGTGCTATAAAAATGTCTCACACAAATTTATAAAATGTAGTCATTAGTGACATTCTGCCTGGCAACAGCAGTATCTGGATATTTGAAAAAACCCCAACCTTGAGCTACCTCATGGACATGTGACATCTAATAATACACATATGAAGAAATTTTTTTAATATCAGTTATTAATTGTGGCCATTTCACCAAAGGAAATGAGATATCCATGTCTTATATGACCAAAAGGAACATCCTAGAGTTTCACTGAGACAAGGTAAAACTGGCTGAGGCTTAGTTCTTAGGCTGTGCTAGATGTCATCTGTGCCTTTTCATAAGTTACTTTTGCAGTGTGACTTAGCAGGCTTGTTTTAAACTGGGGGGAAGCGGTTGGCATTGTCACAATACACCTGGTTTCTTTAGCTGCTACACTCCACTGCAGTACTATTCACTATGTTCTCATATCACCTACCCTAAAATTCTCAACCCAATCTTCATTTAGACCTTTCACCTGGACATTTTACAGTAAAAAGACTTTTATTGTTAAACTTGACCTGATCAACAGTCATTCCAATTCAGTTGTTCTTCCAAAGGTAGTGCTACCTGCCTCAAGTTTATAGGATCCTTTATTCTCATTTTCCCTATCCTGAGTTGATTGCACACAAGATGAAAACACCAAAATCAAACCATTTGTTAGGATTTAATTTGAGTTTTTCCTTCTGCTTCAAAAACTAGATTTTTCACCATACATTCTGATGCATTAAAACTAATCATGGTCATAAATTCTTACATCTTGTCAATTTTGCACAACTTCACCATCTATTAGGAAGAGATCACTTCAGTTTCACCATTTGTGGAAAGCAGACACTGATGCCAAGGGGTAAGTACAGTGTCCTGGGACACTGCAATATTGTACAGATAACAGAGCCTGGATGAGAAGCCAGATTTTCTATATTAGAACTGCTTGGTGTGGGCCTAAGGTCATGCTATGCATATAAGCTCACAGAGAGTGGAAAATAAACACACATCTTCCCACTTTTTGATCTCTGTGTTTAGATAAATCGCGTTATTTCCTAACGTATCAGATGTTTTTTGATGCGCATTGTTCCTCATATGGACAGGAAAGCCCGCTGTTACCCCTGTAACTTGCTCCCATTACCTCTTGATGCACTTGCATCCTATCCTCAGGAGGATTAGAGGGCACTCAGGACCTTTCAGGAGGCACTTACCACTTTACAGGATTAGGATAAGCCTGCCTTTGATGTTTTTGTGATCACACCCATCTGTCATAACTGAACATGGTGAATTAGGCTTTATTTTTATTTAATGTTCTAATTTTGTTTAAAAGGTCAAATATAAAAATATTTTTTCTTTGACTGCCTTTCTTTAAAAAATCAGTGGGGATATGTTGATTTTTTAATACAGATGCTAATGTTGAAAACTGAAAAAAAAACCCCGGTTAGAATCAAGAAATAAAGATGAGGTTTCACCTGATTTTAAGGTTTAACAATTGTACTCCATGTCACACTCCTTCCTCTTCCTCCATCCATATATTCATTACAAATGTCAGATAAGGCTAATCCTTCATGTGACATTACTACAGATGGTTACACAGGGGACTTAAACCAGATGCTGATAGTCTGGATAATCTGGATAAAAGCTGGTAACCTAAACCAAATCCATTTTGTGTATTACTCATGCTAACAGTTAAGATGTGTATAAAATTTTTATTACCCTTTAACACTTTACCTAACTTTTGTTTTTCTCTTTCTATACATAGAAGGTTTTTATTTTGGAGGGGGTTTTTCTACATCTCCCACTGTCTTTGTACCTCAGATAAATCATGCATGTATATATATAATAAACAAGATTTGGGGAGGGGAGAGATACTTTCTAGATGAGACTGAATACTAAGTTTAGCTGTTGTTTTAAAATTCCCATCGGGTTGAAAATTGGCACTTTTCAACTGCCACTTCTGAAAAGCAACTTTAATTTACTTTTATATGAAGAGGTTTAATGAATGTATTAACAGAAAAAAAGTAACTTCATTCTATACTTTTAAAGAGTCTTTGAAGTTCAGTGGTTAGGATGGGAGCTGATAGGAGTCTCTGTTGGTGAGTGGCCTAGACCTCTGACCAGACTTGAGTACTTGAAACCCATTTTTCTGTCTACTTAAGAATAGAAATATCCTATCTTATATGGGATTTACTTTGAATAATTTGTATACTTTTATTCTTTCATTTAGTAATGGTGTTTGTATTCTGAACTGTGGGATTCATGAAGACTAGTTAGTCTAAGAAGAACTCTGTGTATGTGTGCATGTGCACGTGTGTGTTAAGCAGTTATTTACATGAGAAATTCTGTGACATAAACATGCTTAACCACAGTAATGTAGACAACACTCAGAGTATGTGTCATATTGTGCCATACATTATTCCATATTCTTGTGAAACAGAAGGATTCCAACATATAATAGATTTAACTGAAAAATACGCTGGCTGTTTAAATCTGAGAATGTGAAACAGCAAGTTTAAAATAATCAAAGTAGTGAAGTGTGGTTCTGACAGGGGCAAAAATACCACAATGGTTAGAGGCCGGGATTTCAGCTTGAAGTGTCTGTATCGAAGATACCGTTCTGATGCCATTTCCCTTCACTTCTTTCCTCACCTCCCAGGGCTTTTGTGCTTGTGTTTGAGATGAAGTAGAAATGTGAGTTTTTATTTTGTTCCTGGTTGAAAGACTTCAGCAAAGGAAAAGGGAGAGAGGAAAGAAATGTGCGGTGTTGCATCTAGTGATCCTTCCTTGCCTCTGACTGTCACTGAGTGCTGCCTATGGCTAGAGGAATTGGAGAGGAAAATAGTAGGTTATTGTTTGCTGCTTAATATAATGCTACTTTGTTTCTTTTTTTTTTTTTTTAGTAGGTTGTGCCTCTAAGTTAGTCACTAGTCTGGAAGTATAGGAAAATAAGTTTACCAAGAACCTGAGCTATACAACTACTGTGTATCTATTCATCTATTGCCTATCACACTTGAGATTTATATTAGGGTAAGCAACTTGAGCAGGTTCCCATAGAGTAAATGAACTATGGTCTAATCTGATCTCCCTGTAATCCAGGGAGCTCTGAGGGCAGTGGTCTGGAGTATGGTTTATGGAGCATGGTTTCTGTGATTCTCTTCTTGTTTTGCCCCTAGTGGGTACTACAGGAACAGGTAAAGAAGTCAAGGTCCCTGGTCAGCCTAAGCATGTGGAGTACTGAAGTTTGAATATTGGGATTTAATACAGCCTTCTGTTGCCAGTCAAAGCTCTCAGGTGCACAGTCCTCACAGTCTTCAGCAGGATATCCAGTAGTAGTTAGTAATGTCTATCTCTCTCGGAGTCCTTACTGTTTCACTGATTCTAGAAGTGTAGAGATCACACCATTGGCCTAAGTTAACAGAGTTCTACTGAAATCGGCAGAATCCAGATGCCTTAAATCAGTAGAAAACCTTGATCCTTTGCTTCCTGTGTAGAATGATACAACAGTAACATATACTGCTCACTGTAGGTCAAATAATTCTCAGCAAATTGCTGAAAATGTTTAGAAGAGTAGTCTGTCATTACATCTTAGAGCATACTGCAAGGATATCTGCTGCAAACCTTCTGCAGGGAGATGAAGAAAGACATATTGTCCGGATATTTTCTGTTGTTACTATACTGTGATCAAATACCATCATAATTGTTGTTCATTTGGGGGTCATAAACCTTTATAGTGAAAGAGAGGGTAAATCCTTTGGTCTGAAAGGTTAGCTGGAGAAAGACGAATTATTGCGACAGATGCAGAAAGGTGAAAGAGGTGAGTAATTGTGTGAAATGTTGTGAGCAAGGAGTGAAACTTCTACAATTATGTGTTTTGTGTCAAATGAGGTTTTGGTAGGTTGATACACATTACACTAAATGTTATGATTAATGGTAATAATGTTATTTTAATGTTTGTGGTAATCAAAGAGTGGAAGCAATAACTGGATCTAATTGATAAGAACATTTGACTGACCCATGACAATTACTTCTTTAAATGTAAATTTTTAGACTGTGACTTTAAACAGTAGCAGTTCCTTGATGATTTATTTTAGAGGCTTACAAAAAGTATGAAAATAGAGTAACATTCTATTACTGACCATATAGGTGTGGTTGAAAGACCTGTGCATGGGGCTACCATCTGTTCCATGTTAGAGGAAATGCCCAGTTCAGCAGAAATATTTCTTTGCATGTTGTAGGCCTGGAAATGCCATTTCAGCACTATGAAATCTGATACATCAAGACTTAAACGTCACTTCCAGAAATGCTGTTTAGTGGAGCGTGTATGTATGGAAATGATGTCCTGGTATAGAGAGGGTCCTGGGTTATAGGTATTTTATGAGCCACATATCTCTAATTCATCTTTTGCTTTTGAAACATAACACATGTTCTAGCTGCACTGATATGGGTTCTTGCTTATTATAGTTAATGGATTATTCATCCTCTTTGTCCTTGACATA